CGTGCCGGCACTAGTCCCGCCGCGACGCCGGTGAGCGCCAGCGTGTGGCGCTCAGTCTCGTTGAAGACAACGGCGAGCTGCTCGTTGAAGGCGCCGAGGCGGCGCGGGCGGAACGTCAACCGCACCGCGCTGGTGCCACCGGCTGGAACTTTCCCGCGTGCAGGCGCAATGGCAAAGTGGGCAACGCGCGGGAAGGCGAAGCGCAGCGGGATGTCCTCGTGGCCGTTGTGCACCGTCACTATCACGTCACGGTGGTCATTCATGGCGCACTCGCCAAAGTCCACGACCGGCGGCGAGAGCCACGCGACTGTCGTTGTGCAGGTCCCCGTCACGCGCACGCTGTGTGTGTGCTCCGTCTCCACGAAGAGCAGCGAGTAGAGCCACTCGTACGTATCATTTGTGGCGGACTGCCGCTCGCGCCGGCAAGACCAGCCGTTGGATGACGTGGCGAGAGGCGGCGCAAAGACGGCGGTGACGCGTTTCGTCTCGCGCGGGCCCAGACGCCCCTGACGCGGCATGAAGCCAAACGGCGGCGGTTCGCTGCTCACGTCACCAGCCGCCTGGAACGCGAAGCTCACCGGTTGCTCGCTGTCGTTGCGCACATCCACCTCTACGGCGCGGCGCGTGCCGGCGTATGTCTTGGCGAAGCGCAGCGCGTGCAGCTCGTCGCCAGTGCGAGGGTCGAGCAGCGTGCCCTTGCTGTCCATCACCTCCACCGCCACCGCAACGCTGCGCTGCGTCTCCTCGCCTGCCACGTCGACGTGCAGTTTCAGGCGATGCGGGCCAACGTCAAGGCGCAGCAGCTCTACGTACACGTCGGAGGCGCCCAGCGGCGGCACGACGCACGACGATGGGCTCACTTTCACGCCGGTCGCTTCGCGCGCGGGCGTGATGCTCACACGCACCTCACGCCGTCCGCGGTTGGTGAAGCGCAGCAGCTTCGACAGACCCTGCCGGTTGCGCTCCACGCGTCCAAAGTCCACCAACTCGGGGAACTCGAGGTCCGGGCAGCACTTCGCCACGAGCGGCACCGTGATGGACTCCTTGTCGGTGAAGACAACAAAACTGTCCTGATAGTCCTGCGGCACATGTGTGATGAACTCCACCTCAATCACGTGCGTGAGGCCGGGGGCGAGACGCACTGAGGTGGTGTTGACGCGGAACACGCGCTGGTTGCTGGGGGGAGTGAATCGCAGGGTGCACATCTCACGTGTGAAATTCCGCACGGTGAATGGAATGGCATACGTCGTGTCGACGTCGAAGTTGACGTAGTAGCCGCGCGGCGGCTGGACCTGGATCGTCTCTTTGCCAACGGCGGCCATTCTACTCGTGCGTGGTGTGTGGTGCGTCCAGGCCTCCCGCTTTTTTTTTCTATTTTTTCTTTCCTCCTGCTGATTCCTTTCCTCTATTCACTCAACCCTTCAGCAGCGGCAGCAGCGAGGACAACGACAACGGGAAGAAAAAGGGGAACGGGAAGAAAGAGAGTAAAACGATGCGGCCGGGGCAGGTCGGCACAGACGTGAGGCGCTCACACCTGACGCGACTTCCACACCGCCAGCAGGACCGGAACACGTTAAAGAGCTCTTACAAGGTTGTAGCGACTTACACGATTTTCGGCATAGAGGCACACAGAAGCGGCGG